TTATCAATCAAAGTGGATGAATGGTCAGTAATTCTAGTTGGTTGTACAATTTGAGGTTGGAAAAAGAAAGAGCCAAAATATGGTTGATAAAATTTTCAGAGCCAGCATAGGAATCATATTTTAAAAGATCTATATTGAAATCTCCCATTATCATACAAAGTTTATTTTCTCGATGGATTTTTTATCTATTGTCAAATTTATATAACTCATGAAATTATCAAGGTTTCCATTTGGTTGCCGATATATTACTCCACATGGGTCCTACTAAAGAATGCCTGGGAACATTCGTTGAATGCCTAATAATTACGTTAGTTACTAATAAAATCACTTTTTTATGAAAGATTAAATTATTCTTGTAATATATGTCATTGTAAAATACTGTTCACGAAATGTCCGGCTGTCACAAAAGAATGGCCGGGAGTCGGAAATGAATGCCCAGGGTAAAATTATGCAAGTAATTACGTTAGTTAATGATAAAAATGCCTTTTAATGAAAGTTTGAATGTTTCTTGTAATATATGGCATTGCAAAAACTATTCACAGAATGCCTGGGGAAAATTATGTACCGCTGTTGCAGGAAATTTGGCCACCCCGAAAATTACTTTTGTAAATTTTACGGAATGCAACACATACAATTACAAATTATATATTTGACTTAATCGCTTATTACTATACAGATTCGACTACAAAACGGGTTTAACTAAACAGTGTTTTTTAATATATAACCGGTATTAATACTTTAGTATTTTCGTTGCAAGCGCAATTATATTTCAACCACAAATTTGACTAGATTAGATTCAAATACGGTGACCTGAATATAGGGCTAACCTCAAGGTCTACCTTTTTCAAATACCAGTGTAATTATATATTGTTATTTGAAATAAAGTATTATGATTATTATTATTATTATTATTATTGAACATTATGAAAAGAATAATGAACAAAACCATAAGTCCTAAGTGAAAGTTTCAGAAAAAGAAAATTATATTTTTTTCAGTGGAAAGCAACATTGGAGCATTATATTCACATGAAAGAGGTGTTGGTGAATTATTGAAATATTACAAGGCATTATTGACTGGAGCAATCCTCTGCTGTGTGCTGGGGGAAACCAGAATGTTAGTGGATCATCCCTGTAAGTTTGTCATGTATATTATATACATAAACCTCAAAATATGACATTGTAATAGAACATGGATATAATCATATTGCAATTTGTCATATAGGAAAATGCTTATGGATAAGCTGTTGTGCAGCTTGTCTTTAAAAGGCTTTGTAGATGACCCAAAGATGACAGAATCTCTGGGTGAATTCGTTCTGCAAGTTGTAAGGATATCACGTGACTCATGCATGCGAGTACATGGGACGTCGAAGGAATGTTGAACAAGGACTGAGTATAGTTGAGTTATCAAGTAAAGTTAAATGTAGTTTATACGGCATAAGATAAATAAAATATATAACGTTACATGGTGTCAGAAAAGGGATTTTAATCAAAGATACAAGAATACAAAATGGCAGAACAAATCCCAGCCCCAAAACCGTTGAAACTTGATGGAAATGCAGCTGAAAATTGGCGGCGTTGGAAGAAAGCCTTCGAGCTATACATGACCGCTACTGAGAAAGACAAAAAGTCGCAGAAAATACAGTGTGCAACGTTTTTGACCTTGGCTGGCGAAGCAGCGATTACAGTTTACGAAACACTCACGTTTGAAGATACAGAAAAAGATAAAATCGAGCCGTTAGTAGCGAAATTTGAAGCGTATTGTCTTCCAAAAAAAAATGTCACGCACGAAAGGCATGTGTTTAACTTCAGAACTGAAACGATTAGCAAAGAACTGTGAGTATGGAGAACTTACTAACTCGATCGTTAAAGACAGGATTGTCGAAGGAATCAGCAATGACAGAACTCGAGCACGGCTTCTTCAAGAAAAAGATTTATCGTTAGAAAGGTGTATGGACGTGTGCAAAGCAGCAGAAGTTGCCGACAAGCATATGAAAACCTTAACAGATAAGTCACGTAAAACGAAAGAAATGCAGTTATGATGCAGTTTATAGTCGAGGAAGGAATTATCGAAGAGAAACGCATTCAGGATTAACAGGCAACGGCGGTAAAGATCAAAAATTTTATAACAACAGATTAAATTGCAGCAGATGTGGTCAGGGAAACCATAGTTATGATAAATGCCCAGCTGTGGGAAAAGAATGTAGAAATTGTCACAAGAAAAATCATTTTATGAGTCAATGTAGAACCCGAGACAAATAATTGCCAAAATATCCAAGAAAACATCGAGTCGATGCGGTAGAGAACAACGGTAAACAAGAGAGGGACGCTGAACCAAGTAGTGAGTCTAGTGACGAACATGAATTCTATGTTTATTCGACGGAAATGACCGCTGACAAGTCAGATCCATGGATACTTCCATTGGAAGTAAACAACAGTATAGTTACTTTTAAAGTAGACACTGGCTCGGATGTCAATGTAATGAGTTATAACGAGTTTAAGACACTTCAGAACAGACCGAAGTTGAAACAATCGAAGACTAAACTGAAAGCATACAACGGGGGAGATGTTCAAGTGCAAGGTCAGTGTATTTTATCCTTAAAGTTGAAAGAGAAATCGGTGAAAGCGCTGTTTTTAATCAGCCCTGATGATGTTAAACCTATTTTGGGAAGGGAACTTTCTGAAAAGTTAAATCTTGTGAAAAGAACATTTTCTATTGAGCAGTCGAACAGTTCGAATAATTTAACGGGCAGCAGGTATAACAATGCAAAACTAAGTGAGAAATATGCTGACTGTTTCGAAGGACTAGGCTGTTTAGCTCATACTGTAAAAATCGAGTTAAGAGATGATGCAACACCAGTTGTTGAGCCTTGTCGCAAAATACCCTTCGCACAGTATGATAAGCTCAAAGACGAACTACAACGAATGGAAGCTATGGGCGTGATTGAAAAGATCGAAGAACCGACTGAGTGGGTTAACTCATTTGTGCCAGTTACTAAGCCAAATGGAAACTTACGTGTTTGCTTAGACCCAAGAAACTTGAACAAATCAATAAAACGTGAACATTTCAAGTTACCTACACGAGACGAAGTTACAGCTCAATTTGCAAATGCCAAGGTATTTACTAAACTAGATGCCTCAAATGGGTTTTGGCAAATGAAGCTTGAAGACGAAAGTACTAATTTATGTACTTTCAATACCCCTTTTGGGAGATACAAATACTTACGACTCCCATTTGGAATCTCCAGTGCCCCAGAGATTTATCATAGAACCATTAACTCTTTGTTTAGTCACTTAGAAGGCGTAGATACTTCTATGGATGACATCATCATTTATGGATCAACCCCACAAGAACATGATCAAAGGTTGGAAGCAACAATGAAAGTTGTGAAAGAAGTTGGACTGAAACTTCAAAAAGCAAAATGCGAAGTGGGTGTACAACAGTTGACTTACCTGGGGGACACAATTTCGGCTGAGGGATTGAAACCTGATCAGAGAAAAGTTGAGGCAATCCAGAACATGGAAAGACCTGGAAACAAAACAGACCTCCAGAGATTCCTAGGTATGATTAATTATCTTGCTAGATACATACCAGATTTATCCACTAGAACAATGCCATTAAGAAAGTTGTTAGACCAGAAGGTGTTGTGGATGTGGAACAATGAGCAAGAGAAAGCATGGAAAGAATTGAAGGAACTTTTTTCAAGCGAACCTGTGTTAAAGTTCTACGATCCAAACAAGCCCATAAAGATTTCAACCGATGCAAGTAGGAGTGGCTTAGGAGCAGTACTGCAGCAGCTACATGGTGAAAATTGGCTTCCAGTAGCATATGCATCGAGGTCAGTTACAGATTGTGAGAGCAGATATGCAACAATTGAACTTGAGACACTAGGCATGACATTTTCTTGTGAAAGATTCCACCAGTACATATACGGTCAAGAATTCGAAATAGAGACAGACCACAAACCATTAGTGTCAATTTTCAAAAAATCACTAATTGATAGCCCGCCACGAATACAGCGGTTGAGATTACGATTGCAGAAATATGATTTCAAACTTTCGTACGTTCCTGGTAAGTGGATGCATACACCAGATGCATTATCCAGAGCACCCCTGAAGCTGGCAAGTAAGTCAGACCACCATATTGAAGCTCATGTTGATGGAATCATAGCAGTGCTACAAGTCACAGATGAGAAACTAAAAGAGATTAAAGAGGAAACCCAAAAGGACAAAACAATGATATCACTTCAAAATACGATCATGCAAGGTTGGCCCAATGAAAGATCCAATACTTCTAACGAACTTCATGCTTATTGGAACATTAGAGATGAATTATCGGTACACCAAGGGCTGATACTAAAAGGTTCAAAGATTGTAATTCCAACAAAGATGAGAAAAGAAATCCTAATAAAAATTCATGCTGGTCATCAGGGCAGAGAGAAATGCAAGCAACGTGCCAGACAAGTAGTATTCTGGCCTGGAATCAACAGTGACATTGATAACATAGTTGAGAGTTGCGAGACATGCCAACATCACCAGCATAACCACCAGAAAGAACCATTAAAGCCATATCCAGTTCCAACCTGTCCCTGGCAAGTGGCCGGCACAGATCTCTGTGAAATCAACAAGAAAGAATATCTTGTCATTGTGGATGCATATTCCAGCTATCCGGAAGTGATACCTCTATCAAGCCAAAGCAGTAAAGCTGTGATTAAAGGTATGAAAGTAACTTTCGCCAGACATGACATTCCTGATATTGTTCATAGTGACAATGGACCATGTTACAGTAGTCAAGAGTTTGCTGATTTCAAGACCAAATGGGGATTTAAACATGTTACCAGGAGTCCTCATTTCCCGTCCTCTAATGGGTTGTCGAGAAGGCTGTCCAGACAGTAAAGAATATTATAAGCAAATCAATTGAAAGCGGAACAGACCCGTATCTCGGACTGTTAGCATATAGATCAACACCACTTGACAACCATAAGTCACCAGCTGAGTTACTGATGGGAAGAACACTTAAAACAGATATTCCAGTTGTAGAAAACCAGCTCAATGTTAAAGATTCCAAAGCAGTTGTTGCATGGAAAACAAAGAAAAAAGAAATCCAGAAGGCTTATCATGACAGAGAAGCCAAACCTTTGCCACCACTGAAGCAAGGTGAGATGGTGAGAATCTACGACCAAAAGAAGTTGATGTGGGGAGAAAAGGCAACGGTGAAAGAAAAGATTGCAATTCGTTCGTACATAGTGGAAACCAAGGACAAAGTTCAATACAGACGAAACAGGAAACAATTGAGAAAAATTACCTCGGAAGTCGAAGACGGAAATGATAAAAATGTAAGCACAACGAAACGAGCGGAGAAACAAGTCGAGACAAAGTTGGTACCCTCGAATGAAGTATCAAGAGACAGATCAAGATATGGTAGAACAATAAAGAAACCTCGTAGATATGAACAATACACTTAACAGATAAGTAAAGCATGTTAGGACTTAAGAAGAACTTAGTAGTTGTTATAAGACTTCAATTTTAAAGTTGACTTTATCTCATGAGAGTAGACGGTGTTCAAACTGTTGATTAATATTAACTTTCTTATTGTATGCGGAATGTAAGGATATCACATGACTCATGCATGCGAGCACATGGGACGTCGAAGGAACGTTGAACAAGGACTGAGTATAGTTGAGTTATCAAGTAAAGTTAAATGTAGTTTATACGGCATAAGATAAATAAAATATATAACGTTACACAAGTGCAGGGAGGTCTTTCACACGGATCTTCTCAAACAGGATTGAAAATACCAAAAGGTGGAATTCTACTTACCACTAACAATCCTCCTGAGACCGACAGGTAAGAATTTTTTCCCAAATAATCACCTATGAAAGTGATTGTCAGGCTCTGTGATTATCGTCATGAATATTTAACAATTATTCGCCCGAAGGCAAAGATATTACCGGTGAATATTCACCGTAATCACTGAGCCTGAGGTGAATAATTGTTTTAGTATAAATTTTTAATGAATAAAACAAAGTATCTAAGTTTATGGTTACTGTCAGTTTTAGTGTTTCGCACGCTTTCAAAATGGCTTCCTGTGCGACTTTATTGCTTTATTACAAAGTTGTTTTTCTCGATTTCTGTTTAGAATATAAACACAATGATGGAATGACTTTTTCACCAGATTTAGAATTAAAAAATAGTTTCTGTTTAACATTAATTTGTTCAGGAAATGGCTGAGAAATTTGGTAAAATGAAATGTAAAACTATATCATTCGAAATATAAAAGTTTTAATTCACTTTTCACTTTACAAGTCTCAAAAACACAATAGGACAATACAGCATCAAGACACCATACAGCACAATGAAAACACGACATATATCAAAAGAAATAGTATCGTACAAATTGAGATATTTATAGGATACAAAACAAAATTGTTTTAAAAAGAATGTCGTGGCTTTTCCCAATAGTCGGGATAGTTTTTGCTATTTGTTTGAAGCGAATGTTTTGGAGTTTTAAATAAGTTTTAAATTGTCTATGAATATGTTTGACACAGTAAAATAATAAAGAAATCCTACCTTTCAATTTAAATACAACATTTTGTGCTTTTTTTCCTTTTTCTGGGACGATTTTTTCAAAATTTTGTCGATTTTGAAACCAAATTTGCAGATTCATTCTTTTTGAAAAGCATTATTTACTAGTCTGCTAGTAAATAATGTGTCAGATTTACTAGTGAACTAGCCAATCAGAGCACACGAAAGCTCATTTGATATGCAAAATTTATACTAATCACCTCGCCTTAGGTGAATAATTGTTAATTCAGTTTAACTTATATTTTACACATTAACTCAAAATTGTCATTTTTTTGCGTTTGCAGGTTAGATAGATGTGTTATTCAACTGGACTATAATGTAAGCGATCCCAAATTTAATAAGGACAATGAAAGAGAATTGTTACGCCTGGAAAATTTTGCTGATATTAACAGGGCAATGCACTAATGTAGTGTAGCTACATTTGCATATTACTAAGTACTAACACACATACAAAGTAACACAAGTGTAAACTGTACTCTGTGTAGGTATGTTAATCTGTTTCACTATAAATCATTCACAAATACATGCATACTCTGCATACACTTCAATGGAGGAGGGGGTAAATCAGCAGCTAAACATATACGGAGTTACTTGGAAAAGACAGCAAAATAAAACGAAACGAATTTATTTCGTTGTTCGCATTGATATGCCGCGTTTTCACTGTACCGGATTTGCTTGTCACGACATATTTTGAAGTTTCAGAATGCCCTGGCTAATTTAAATTACGATCAATTATACGATGAAATAAAATGAAAACTGTGAATACTAATAGTTTAAAATTTGTACACAATCCTGCAATTCACATGCATTACTTCTGAACAGCCACAGTAGCTCAGATCTGTACAGTGTAAACGGGGCCCCCAAATTAATGTCATTTATGATTTAACCTTCATTAAATTTAGGGGGTTTTATTAGCGTGGATTATGTGCTACTGTAACATGTGTGCAGAATTTGATGCTGATGTCATAGAAAAATGCATTAGTGAACTTGACCCCAATCAGCAAAGGAGATGGTATAAGGGTGTCAAGCTTATGATGCTGGTTTATGTTGTGGAAAGAATTTTTTTAAAATTTAAATAAACTTTTTCATCGAACAATAATTTCCCTTTAGGGCTTTGATCTTTATGCAGTAAATTAAATGCATGTTAACACATGCTTGTTTAAAATTAATGACTAATAATGTTGAAATAATTTCTTTATGGAAAATTGACCATATGAAATTAAATATTTACAACACTTTTTGACATTTTTATAGTTTCATGTCACTGCAAAAATTGACCCAGACTTACCGGGGACAATATTGAAATTTGTTTCGGATAGTCTACTGGACTTGGATCAACTACCATTATGGGCAAGGTTACAACAGGCCATCCAGGCCAAATTGCAGGAAGGAGATGTGAGTTATACTCTTGATCAAGGTGTTTCATATACTAAAAAAATAAATTAGATTACCATATTGACAATTGCTTTAAAAATTATGTTATAACCCGTCTATTATACATTTGGTATGATTTATTTCGACTTTATTATTTTTGCTATTTCTAGTATCAGTTGAATTCTTGAAATTGCATTAATGTTTTTATTAATTTTTCAGTTTGACCTAAGATTTTTGATCGATGAGAATAAGTTTCACAGCATGATTTTAAAACATTGCCCTTTTTAATTGTTCTCATACATCCAAATGCAGCCGCTGCATGCGATAAGATAACTAATTTTGTTGTACAACACTCATTAGGTTTTAAGATGGTCGTCTCCATTATGCAATGTGAAAATAGATGGCAAATTTCAACCTGCTTTTGGTACAAGCTCAAATACTTTAGACACAATTCGCCGCTCTGAACATTGAAGTAAGTATGAGGTTGTAATGTTATATATGTATTATGTTATACAGTGTAACACGTGTTGTCAGACTAGTACCCAGGATTTTTGCCAGATTGTGGCCTATTTTTCACATTTGGAACAGCAATAACTTTGAAAACCGCTTGAAAAATTTAGGTTACTGTTACAATGTCTTATATGTAGTTTTTATGAGCTTTCTAGTGATGTGAGTCATTTTTCTTATGAGTGAACTTGAAATTTCACGTTTTTTTAACAATATGGGAGTAATAGGGAAATCGAAAAAACCTTGTCATAATGGAAAAAGCTCATGGGGACTTGTAGTATATTGTTCAGGATAGTCAAATTTTGTGAACCAGGGGGAGTGTCTTTTCCAACAAACTGAAAATGGCTTGCTCACAAAATTTAATATAATTTACTTAATAGTAAACTTCTCAACATTTTGAGCAAAGGCCGTTCCCGTCAGCCATCAGGAGAGTCAAATGGTCATTCGTCAACTCAAGTTTAAATATTAATTAATGCCCCTCAAATATAGTAAATAGTGTGTATAGCTTACCATATTTACTCGATTGAGCGCCACCCCCGAATAACCACTGCATTTGAGATATAATTTTTTTAAAGAGTGCTGCCCCCAAATGAGCACCACAGTAAACAGTGCAAAACCTTTCCGCCGTCAAAGTGGGGACATTTAGTGACAAAGACATTAAAAACTTTAGTTTAGTTTATTCTTAAAAGTTCTTGTTATAGTTCACAAATAAAAGTTTTTTTAAAGAGCGTCGCCCCCGATTGAGCGCCGCATCTGGAGCTCTGAAAATTTAAAGAGCGCAGCGGAGCTCAAACGAGTAAATATGGTATTGCATTAAGCAATACCCACAATACCCGCAACCCTCAAATATGAGAGAACTGGTTTGTTAATAATTTATTTATCTGTTCTTATATAAAAAGCATTGGGAAGAAGTACAGACGAGCCAGAAACCAAGTATGTTGCAGAGAGGTCTGTAGTTGAATTGTCATGTGACAATATAAAAGCTTTACAAGATATTGTTGAAAAAATAAAAGAGAAAATCTCAGGTAATGACATAATGCTAAAAAATATTTTTGATTCTCAACCTCATGTGCTGCATGCTCTATAAATATTGAGTGGTTTCTGCAGTGCAAAGTCAAGCTATATAACAGTATAAGGAACTTTACATCTCGACGTCCACTGAAGTAAGCCAAGCTAGTAACAATGTTAAAATTAAATCTTTTTTATATTTTGTTTTAGATATAAGTGCACAGGAATACACCAAAATTGACATAAATGCTGAAGAACTGCAAAATGTATGTATTTTACAGTATCTTGAAAGGTGATGTTTTCATATTTATATATATACACACTATCGCTGCTGTTTGTATAATTTTGGATGAATGCATGATATATAAACAACTGAGATGCATTGGTAACTAATGTTTCCATTTTAATAAATAGCTCTTTGAAATTGTTGGGAGTTATCGCCCAACCAAGTTAAAAGAAAGAGTAATGACCACCATACCAAGAAAGAAGAGAGAATTTATCGAGGTGACTATAAATGAAATTAACCAAAACGCAATCATGATATGGAATTTTATAAATGTATTCAATGGCAAATTCTTTTTGCAGGGTATAAAATCGGGGATGAGACTGGCAAAACGAAGATATAAAGGTAGTTTAAATAGAAATAATTTATGTATTATAAATTTTCTAGTATACCTTCAGTAATATGCATACTTTGTCGCAGAAAACAATCATGAGGAAAGTGAAGAAGATTCTGATGAAGTTTCTGATGAAGACATGTTCACCCCGCCAATAGTATGTACACGATGTCATGATCATGGAGTACACCCTTGTAATATTAGATTAGTGATGTACACACATTAATGTTTTAATACCTTTGACTTCGTATTTGGCTTAATATTACAAATGATTAGCCTTTCTCACAATCATGAATATCCGCCATTCTTGGGTGGCATGTAATTCTTGTTAAACCTAATAAAACACTCCTGCTCATTTATTAAACAGTACTTAAAATATTAGCGTTCTCCATGTGATTTTGAAGACTTTAAACTGTTTTCAATTATCTGTGCCCTGTTCGGAGTGTATATGTTTATCAAACCGAGCTTAAGATGCACCAAATTTATGACACGGACGTGAAGAAAAACTGTAACTATTCCCGCAGTTTTGTTACACGGATAAAAATTATGGCCTCCAGTTGATAAACAAAGTCAGAGACACAAGTGAAGCAAAATAAAACTGGATTCCAAACATTAATAGCAACGGTTTTTATGTCACGTCCGCGTCATAGATTTGGTACATCTTAAGCTTGCTATAGCAAGTATGGAGAATTTAGAAGACACATTCGAAGAGTCAGTATTAAATGTATCATATGATGATCGATAATAAGAGCACGTATTAATAACAAGGTTTATAAAATTATATATATATATATATATATATATTTCTAAAGTGTTCTATGGCTACTGTATATGTAGTTCATTTATATAATATAAGTTTTTATATTAAATATAATATAGTATAATAGATTACGCTATATTCTATTATATTTTTGGGAGAAAAGTGTAGAGGGCAGTTTTTTTATGGAGGTCTTTTTTTAATCATTTTGTATTTCCAGGGATTTGAGACCATCTTCTCTGTGTTTTGTACAGAGAAATAAATGTTTAGAAAGTAGATTTACTAGAACAGGATCATCTGAAGACATCACTTGTTGAAGGGAAACGACAAAACGCGGACCCCAGGTCCGTGGACTACACCTTCGTGGACCTGGTCCATGGACTACATTTGTGAACAACGGACCACTCCCTTGGACCACTCTCGTGGACCGCTTGCGAGACACCAGATTTTTGGGGTTTGAATTCTTGACTGTGCATGGAAAAATGTGCTCGAGCCGAGTTCAGTCATTATTATCATTGTGGAAACTCTACACAAAATGTGAAGTTCTAAATCCATTCACTATATGACCGTTCTAAAATATAAGCGTACAATTACGACTTTAATGCAAAGTTTCCGAATATATGACCTTAAAATTGGTAGTTTTTTTCCGATCACTACAGAAAATGCAAGAAAAGCAGTAATCGAGCTTCAAAAATTAACATTTTTGGGGAGGACCTTCAGGCATTTAAAGGCCATTGCAACTTACGACTTCTACAGTTCAAGTGATTTTTTAACAGTAAATTTCGAATAATTCAGTAAAATCCTTTGACCACGTACCCCTCCCCTCCGGATTCTCCACAGTATTCCTGTATTTTTTTATGAACTCTGATTACATTTTTTCAGCATTTTTACTGACTTACTATTCACTGTTCATCAACAAAAACTGAATTGATTGTGAAATAAATAATGGAAATGAATAATGAAATAATAGTTCCCGCCAATCTCGGCTTCCTAAACTCAGGTTAATAGTGCTTGGTCTATTGTTCGGTAGGCGAAATTTTGCAAGTGGTCCATGAGAGTGGTCCACGGGAGTGGTCCGTGGTCCACGAAGGTGTAGTCCATGGACCTGGGGTCCGCATTTTGTCGTTTCCCCTTGTTGAAGTAGTTTTTGTTTACTTTCTTTTTTTGTGTTGAGATTAAATAGGTTTTTAAGAATGTTGTTTGAGTTGTCTCATATATGTTGGTATTTCGAACATGTGAGGGCGAAGTGAAATTCGTTTTCCACTTTGCCTGAGTCACATGATTTACAGATACGTTCCTCACAAGGAATATTTTCATATCTTCCTTGTTCAATTTGTAGCTTATGATTACTTACTCGATATTTGGGAAACGTTCTCCTTATTGTTGGGTTATCAATAATGGATAAGTATTTTTCCATTTTGTATTCTTTTTTAAATGTACAAAAGAAGAAAAGTTTGGAGGAGTTAATAATTTTATGATGCCAAAATTCAAAATATTTATCTTTCATCTTATTCACGATGGCTGGTTGCTATGCAGTTTGCTCCCGGAGTCAATTTGCCCGTGTATATTGGTTTCCGGTTTCCTAGCTGTAAATTATGGCGCGGTTCAAATACTGCGTCTTTGGCGCTCCTGTTTGCGTTTATTTTTCAACGTTTTAAAACGATACTTGCTCAATCTGTACTACATCGAACCGTCTATTAGCTCGTGTGCACAAATAACCTATACGGTTATTTGAAAACGGTAAAATGTTGGTGTTGTTGTGGCCATGTATTTTCGCCTTTTGAGCGATGAGAATCATGCCGAGAAGGACAAATTGTACTGTCCAGGGGTCCCACAGCGTCGCACGTGCATGGCCTACAATCCCCCCTTGAAAACCTTGCTGAATTCAGAGCATTGCCGGAATTATTAGCAGAAATAGCTATATTTTTGTTGAAACTAAACTTTTCAAGGCAAAGTTGAAGAATAGCATTTATTTAACAAGTCTAAATGGATGGCAGTGCTGGAGAAAAGTGTGGGGAAAAGTCTCTTTGACGAACGCATTTGCATTTTATACGCGTTCATGATGCGCCATGTTGTTGCTTCACTTCCCGCTGTGTTGCCTTTTTAGTTCGATAGATTATTGCCATAAAAGTCAAACATGTGATCGAAATAAAGGACATCCAGGAGTGTGCAACACACAGAGACCACTACCCGATAGTTTGGGGGAATAGTTCTGTTCTTTAACTCATAGAAGCCAAGGAGATCTGTCATGCAAGTCACGCGAGGTTCATATTTGTTTACTTCACCTCATGCTGCTCGTCTTGAGTTAGCTGGTTTCTTGACTTCGATAAAAGCTTATTGTGTGCCTTGCGCAAGTTTTATTTACATTAATATAACTACAGAAGACTGAGTTATAGTTTACAAAAGAAATCAGTTGCATATGCCTTTATTTAAGCGGAGATGAGGGAGCCGTTTTCTCGCTATTAAAGACAACATGCCTTGGTAATCTGATATATAGTGGTAGATGTACTATGATCTACGGAAAACCATCATGAAAAACGTTTGGAATTGTAACTAAATGATAAAATTAAGTGTGCGTAAAGACACAAAATCTGTTTCAGAGAAAGCTGCGTATCTTAAGGAATTTAAATCACTAGTATACTGTATGTTACTATTATTTTATGCGGTTACGGATCTTGCGCAGTATAAATAATAAACTGTAGTAGGCTGTAGTATACTTCGCAGGTATGATGGCACTGTAGCTAAATCTGCTATATATATTGTCAAATGGAACTATGTGTTTATATATGAATATCTCAAAAATACATCGTACACAAATATAATATGAAAGCATTTTATAACAGAACATATTCAACAAACAAATATTCTTGCGAGAACTATAATATTGCTAGGTTTTTTGATGCGACTAATCAAAACAGTCAGTATGTTTCTCTGTCCGGCCGTCGATATATTACTTAAATCGATATATGTTATGTATTAGCAGCATCAGATAATTTCCCCAAAATTACCTGCATATACTGATGAAGAAACACGAGTCTAGGCGAAAAGAGGAACAGTTTGTACATTGGTTTGCGTTCCGTATTATGAAATATAAACTATACGGGAGCAAATATGATATATCGTCTGCGGCGCAGGCTAGAGGTATTCGACGGCAGTTAATAGTTCCGACCGGTTATTTGACAGCTAAATAAAATTATCACAATCGTTCCATTTAAATATGGAAGTTTATAAACCAGTTAAAATATACCAACAAATTTGTTTTAACTGCAAGAAATTTTAAGCCAAATGCATGACCTTTCCGATTATAAGGTTAATAAACAACGCCATTTCGCATTCACACCAACACCGCTGGAAAAAACGAAGCCTGCGCTTCCGGAAGCAAAATGCATAGCAACCAACCACCGTGATTGATGATAGTTTTGTATCATAGTTGATTACATCGCATTCTAGGTTTGTTGTATTATCATAGAAAGATTCCTTGCCTTGATTATATAGTTGTTTAGACATTTGGAAGGATTGTTTAATGATCGAGTTGTCATCTAATTTGAAAATGTGTTTAAAATAGTTTATTATATTCTTTTTTATTGAAATCAGAAGCGGATATCTTCCAAGTTCACTTCTGCAAGCCATATTGCTTGCTTTTCTATTACAGTGAAAATACAAAAAGTGTCCCACTTCCGCTTCTGTAGTTTGTTGTGATTTACTGTAATTTGTTCTGTTTTTCTGTAGCGATTACCGATTTATCGGCAAATACCGCGATAAAACTTAGTTTTTTTCTTTTTTTAAGTATGATAATTTGTAGCAAAGGGAAATAATACATTTTTCGTTAGTTTCATTGCATAAAAGGAACGAAATTTAAATTTTATCGCAGTATTTGCCGATAAATCGGTAATCGCTACAGAAAAACAGAACAAATTACAGTAAATCACAACAAAATACAGAAGCGGGAGTGGGACACTTTTTGTATTTTCACTGTAACACCCAGATATAGCTTGCAGAATCTTAAATGAACTTTCTCTGTTTCTGAATTATCCCATTTGTTGAGATCATTTTTCTCATATGCTCCCCAGACGTCTGAGTTGTATAGTAGAATGGGGGAAATAATTGAGTCAAATATTTTAGTAGCTGTTTCTGGCAAGAATTTTTGAAAATCAATTTTTCGACGAACTTTATGAAGTGCATGCAAAGCTTTTTTGCATAGTTGTTTTTGAGCTATCTTAAATTTGCCGTTTGGTATGAGTTTGAGACCAAGATAGGTATACTCTTTGACTATATCTATATTTTTATTTCCAATATGGAAATTAAGGTTTGGTAATTTTGAGTTACCAAAATAACTCAAAATATAGTTATGATTAATAGTTATGATTAGAAGTAGTGAATTCTAACCGAATGCCAAATTTTAAATTATTCTTTATATAAAAAGCAACAGCCCCTGCATTTGAAAAACTAGGTTTTGAAATAAAACTGTATCCTTGTATGTTAATATTTGTCAGAGGTTCCTTATCAACTTTAAATTTAATTTCTGAAAGTCCAATCAGAGAAAATGGAAAATTTCATTCAGAAAACATGTGTAGTAAATTGTCATAATTGGCAGTTAAACTTCTTATACTAGAAGTTACTATCGCAAGGAAAGTGCTGCCTCACCACCAAGGGATCAAAGGCAGCATGCACAATTTGCTGAATAAGGGGCTGTTTATACGATCCATCTTTGCCAGGACAAGCTATGAGGCGGATGAATTCGATGTATTGATTCATGGTGCATGATTCAACAAAAATTTCATTATTTTCTAGAGATAGTTTGTAGCTAACTGTAAACGAAAGTATATTTTGTGTTCAATATATAGACCACAGTAAGACTTTTTAATCCTTACTACCTGAAGATGGAGTAAATCTCCGAAACATCACTTGTTAATGTAATAAACACATTTAAAAAAAGCCTTACTGTGGTCTATATATTGAACACAAAATATACTATTAACACAAGACTTAGGAAAGTTCGTTCCTAAACATTTTGTAAACGAAAGGTTTTTCAAGCACCAATAATAATCTTCTTGAACACAAGATCTTCTCTACAACATTTGAGTTCAGTTAACCAGCATTTAAACTTTTGTTTAGCCCAGTGACTTATTTCAATACAACAAAATCATCCCACCTTCCATTATGTAAACAGCCCCTAAGGCACCTGTTTAGGGGTTAGGAATTCTAATTTTTTGGCATGGGTGGTTTTGCATGAATACCTTCAATGCTTATAACTTCTTGCTTTTTTGTATATATAATTATAATGCTGTCAGTGGTGAAGATAGCCATAGTAACAGGTCATGCTATGCAAGTTTTTAATGATTTGTTTCATTCAAATAGATGCATATTTATCAGCATAGGCATAGCATGACCAGTTGCAATGACTAGCTCGCCACTGACCAGAGATCAGGCTCTATTTTACAAATATAGCCTGACACAAACATTAATGCGGTAGCTTTCCACCCACAGCAAAGTTTACCATTTAGTATCCAATCAAAATGTCACAGGAGAAATTTAAATTTCACACAACGACGACAACAATCTAATTATAGTTGTGCTCGATCACTATAAAATATATCATCAACAATAGTATAAATATCTAATCAGTACCAACCAATCAAATGACAGATTAAAAAATCTTTTGTCTCATAGACCAATCAGATTTACAACCGAAATATGGCTGTAAGGCATGTTAAGGTTTGTATCAGGCCTATTTATTTATTTATAGGCCTGATTGCAGGTTAGCTCACCACTGAATACTGTACAATATCATATATTTATATACATAAACGATAATAATACTTGAATGAATCATTGGACATGTAGAATTTAATAACACTTTCATGTATAGAAATACTATACAAAACTACCCCTGTTGCAGAACAAACTAACATTTTTGTTTAATTTAATACTTCACTTGACACCATTCATTTGTAATGATTAAGACTGTGCTAAGTCAGAACTTCAAAACTATGTAATAAGAAAGATATTGTGCGCATTATCGAAAAAAATATAGTTTTCCCTGAAATGTAATAACACAGCCAGGTGAATATATGAATGTATTATGTAGGCCAGTCCAAGAAATCGAGATCATCTCAGAGAAATATTTTTACAGACTGTCATACCTTGTACAAAAATCGGTTGACATGCCATTACATGTAACTGCTGGTAAGTTAATATTTCCAGACAACCATGGGCAGATTTACTGGGGACTTAGGTATGGTTAACTTCCCCCTATAATCTCTCTAACCCTGAGGTCTTATAAATTGTTCAACACTTCAACCCCACCAAAATTTCACTTCACCCCTCCTATTTTGTGTGAAAAAGTCTTTAACCTTACCCCCGAAGCTTACTAGATTCACCCCTCCTTTAAAAAAATGAAAATATGCCCTTGCAGGCAACAATCCAAACTGGATTGCTATATCATTCCACGTTTGTTTTTAAAACGTGCTGAAAGCACATTGCTATAAACATGTAGAATGAACACATGACTATAAACTCATCGCCTTGGGACATCACCACACAAACAAATAAACTATAGTTTATCATGATAAATTTGTGCTGATAGTTCATGAAATCATAGTGTTCTAAATATAAACGCCTTTGGCTTCATGTATATTTATCCACAGTTAATAGAAGTGTATCGAAGTGCATGTCTATACTGTCAGACTATACAGCCGGTTGAAAATATTGGCGATGTTTTGCATGATGGAAATGTAAATCATATAGACAGACTATAGTATAGTGTTACGTACTAAATTAAATCTAATTTCGCTACCAGAAAGAAATAAAGCTATCCTTGTAAATGTAAATAAGCTAGCTTTAATACTGCTGATATTCTGCTGATATACAGAACTTGATGCTTGATCCGTGTTCAATACAAAATAAAGTTTGACCGCCCCCCTCGTTTTAAAAAACTTCCTGAAGCATTAATTATTTCCCCGGAATTATAACAAACATCCAACAGACAGACACAAAATCTAGATCTCGACAATACATAACTCGGGCAAAGAGACTGGGCACAGGTAAACGCGATACTTCATGTTAAGAATAGTTTGCTGCCTTCGGCAGCAATTACAGTTTAAAGCTGAAAATGATTTAGTATCTATTGCACACTGAGTAATATCATGGTTACTGTGAAAATCATCAATACTATAGTAATTAAAATTATTATCAAATGGCATATTCAAATCAATATCTGAATTTGCAAGATGAAGAATATTTGAAATTATATTAAGTTATGGCAAATTACCAAGCTGTGTTATCCTGTCAACAATGACATTCGAATTGTTACTTATAGACATTTCAAGTTATTAGTGATACTCAGATAATTTGAATAAGATATTAATTGTAAGATTATTTTCCCTTAATAATAAAAGGGCAAATATATGGTAGAGACTATATCTAAAGTGTATATCAAAACATTAATCAAATTTAAAATAATAAACTTATCTTGACACTGTTGTTAAGAGTTTAGTAATATCTTCTTTATTCCTAATGATTGTGGCAGGACTGGCTTGGTCTTTCCTCAGATAAATTCTTCCATTTGATGACCAAATAAATGAATATTGAAGATCCCTTTTCACTCTCATACACTCTCCGAATAATGCTTTATTTTTGTCTGTAAAACTCGCTTTGTCTGTAAGACTCTCTTTTGTCTCTGCTAAGAAAACCCAAGGTTTCTAGTTGTAATATCTTTTAATACTTTTCGTGCCCTGTAGTAACGTTCTTTGGTATTACGACGAACGAACTTCATGACGATAGTTGACTCGGTACGCTTCCCTTTTTACTTATTGCTAATCGATAAGTGGTGACTCACTGAAATATCCTCTTCGTTAATAGATAAACCCATTAACTCGCCAACCTTTTTCACCAACTCATCAGTATTTTCATCTTTTGTAACCGGTATGCCTTTAATCTCAATTGTAAATCTGGCCCAAAAACAAAAAAATTACTTTCAGGTTGTCTCCTTATACAGTGAGCAGCCTTAAAGTTATACTTTTTCCCATTATTTGGCATTTTCTGAAAAATTACAAATACATCGTTTACAAAGTCAAATGCGGATTGCATATTTTTTATTTACCAATGCTTATAATTATACAATTGTTAATGTTATACTTTACCAGAATCATGTGTAAAAAAGGGAAACAATAATAAAAAAGCTCCTGGTTAACAGGGGCGAAACTAGGGTATTAGTAGTGGTGGGGACTGTGGCTGCGAGTTCTTTGCCTGAAGACGATATCCAGTCAACGAAGCTGAAAGTTACGAGTATCTAGGAGTACATCTTGACAAATATTTAACATTGCACAAACATATGCATAAGATATACAAGAGGTCACTGGCAAGAGTGAAGTTGCTGAAACGAATTTGTCAACCCTCCCTCCCACCATTGCCCTCAAGATATACAAAGTAATGATTCAACCCATAATGATATATAGCTCTACAATGTACTTGGGATTATTAACAAGCTTGAACAAGTTCATGAAAGAGCAATGCTGACTGTAGATCCAGAAAATCTTCCTATCTTAGAGGGTATAAATACGACGCTCCAAAGAAAAGGAGCAGTTGAAGTCTTTAGATGTGAGCCCTGGACATTTTGACAATTACTTCACCAAGATCACACACACCTTTAACACTCGAGGTAATGATTCATCTCTGCAAATTCCAAAAATTAAGACCGAGGCTGGAAGAAGTTTTATTTTTCAAGGAGCTGGAATCTTGAACAAATTACCAAAAGATGGTTTATGCGCGATATACCAAGTCACAGGTGACGTCACAAGTCAAGAGTGACGTCACACCAATAGGAGATAATAGAATTATATCATTTCGTCTTGTTCTTTGTTTTTTAAAGTTTTAGCTACCTACTGTATTTCTTTTGGATCTTCAGGCTTTTTGGCTGGTGCATATGGATTGTTTCTTTTTTGTATATCATTTGGATCGTTTCCTTTTTGTAGATCATTTGGATCATTTGTTTTTGTAGATCATTTGGATCATTTGTTTTGGTAGATCATTTGGATCATTTGCTTTTTGTAGATCATTTGGATCATTTGCTTTTTGTGGATCATTTGGATCATTTGCTTTTTGTGGATCATTTGCTTTTTGTGGATCATTTGGATCATTTGCTTTTTGTAGATCATTTGCCATTCAAGCCGCCAGAACAAAAATCAAACTTGCACGTATGGCGCATCCAGAATTATATAAACAATTAGTCATCTGTAGCTACTATTGTGGTGCAAAGGACGTTTAAGCGATAAATAGTATTATTCAAAATAAAGCTTTTTATATAAAACGACTGGGGTCCATTAAATTAATTAATTTAAACAGATCTAATTACATGTGTTCAAAGCTTTCAACACAACACTGACACTGATATTAAATGACAAATATACTGAAAATATAGCTAAACTACAAATTTAATGAACAGAAAATATTTGCCTAACAGTGTTAGATTAGCAAGCTATTTTCGTTAGTTTCAAACTAAACGAACATAGTCGGTGTCTATCAGGATGATTGTGTGGCATATGTGCAGCCTTGCAGTGTTTCCGGTGACATGTCTACAATAAGTGACAAAAATTCTGATAAAACAATAATTTGCTAGGATAAAGTTATATACCAGATGAAAGCTCATGTAATGAACAAAATAATTTTAGGAATGAATTATGTTGACTTGTTTGCACTTAGAGACCGGACTTCTTGAATAACCATTACTGTTATCGAGGACGAAAGGGTACCCTGTTGCCATGGAAACTATTATGTATGCATATGAGTTGCATATTTACAATCTGTGTTATTTAAGCTTCAGTTTGACATACAATTTGAGGTATTTAGATAAATATCTCAGCCACAAATTATTTTCTTTTCCCACTTATTGGAAAAACAGCATTTTTCCAAAAATAAATCTATGCTGCAAAGGGTTAATTAAACGTCCCTTGCACCGCAATAGTAGCTACAGATGACTAATTGTTTATTTAATGCTGGATGCACCGTATGCGCAAGTTTGATTTTTGTTCTGGCGGCTTGAATGGCAAATGATCCACAAAAAGCAAATGATCCAAACAATCCACAAAAAGCAAATGATCCAAACGATCCACAAAAAGCAAATGATCCAAATGATCTACAAAAAGCAAATGATCCAAATGATCCACATAAAGCAAATGATCCACAAAAAGCAAATGATCCAAATGATCTACGAAAAGCAAATGATCCAAATGATCCACAAAAAGCAAATGATCCACAAAAAGCAAATGATCCAAATGATCTACAAAAACAAATGATCCAAATGATCTACAAAAAGGAAACGATCCAAATGATATACAAAAAAGAAATGATCCATATGCACCAGCCAAGAAGCCTGTTGAATTGCACCAGCCAAGAAGCCAGTTGAAGAAGCCAGTTGAATAGCCAAGCCAGTTGAATAGCCAAGAAGCCAGTTGAATTGCACCAGCCAAGAAGCCTGTTGAATTGTTTGAAAAATGCTAATGACAATGTATCTCTCCACAGTTGATTTAAAAAATTGTGTCGTTTAAACTATAGTAAAATTGTGTTGCAAAATATTCTAAGGCTTTCAGAAGTGAGAATTTCAACCACGGGCTACCAAGCATTTGTAGCCCGAGGTGATTTTTTGGCTACTCCATGGGCTATCAATGGAAGTAGCCTGTGGTTGGAATTTTTTTTTAAGTGTAGTTTAAACTATAGTAAAATTAGGTAGCCTGGTAGCCCGAGGTTCAAATTTTTCTAATATTTTCCAAATATTCACTTACAAAAAACTTAGAATATTTTCCAACAGAATTTACAGCATTTTACTATAGTTTAAACTACACTTAGAAATTGCAACCACAGGCTACTTCCATTGGTAGCCTGTGATTTTGAGTGGTGGCCCATGAAATTTATTAGGATTTGTATGGAGTAGCCCATCAGTTTCTCAACAGAGTAAGTTGAGTAGAGACTACCAATGGGTTACCAATGGTTGGTAGCCTGTGGTTGAAATCTGTGGAAGTCTTTTTCAAACATCCACTTACAAAAGACTTCAAACACAATTTATCCAATTTTACAAAAGTTAATAATGTACATAAAAATATTACTCGACTGTGATTGCTTGATTTCAGTGCATTTAATCCCAAACAGCAGTGCAAAAATCTGTAACAATCTGATTGGTGGAAAAACATTGTGATGATAAAATCAACCAATCAGTTTAAAGCAGTTTATAGTTTAAAGAAGTAACAGTCACAGATTGCTTCAAAAACAAATAAAGTAAAAGTTGACTTCGCGTGGAAAATATGGCTTTTATCTTTATTTTTAAATGGAAAAGCCTTTACCTTAAACAAAACTAACAAAACTTACACTGTTGAGTGGAATTTTCAAGCTGTTAGCATTGTATAATGTGCTATAACAAAGCCAGGAAAACTTTGCCAATGGAATGTTCGCTATAAACGTAAGTTAAAACTACAATTGTCTCGAACATTTTTATGTAAATTATTAATAAGTAATAGCATGGTTTCTCATGAAATTTTGGATAAACATGCACTGTGAGTTTTTCAAAGAAATAGCACTCGTCCTTCGGACTCGTGCTATTTTGAGGTCTTCGAAAAACTCACTCATGCATGTTATATCCAAATTGCACTTGAAACCATGCTATAACCTATACTTAAACTACACTTGCAAAAAATTAAAACCACGGGCTACTTCCATTGGTAGCCCATGATTTTGAGTGGTAGCCCGAGGGTAGACTGTGAAATTTATTAGGATTTGTATGGAGTAGCCCGTTGCCTGTCAGTTTCTTAACAGAGTAAGTTGAGTAGCCCGTTGCCTGTCAGTTTCTTAACATAGTAAGGCTACCAACGGCTGGTAGCCTGTGGTTGAAATTTTTGTAAGTATTTTCCAAATATTCACTTACAAAAGACTTATTTTCCAACAGAATTTACAGCATTTTACTACAGTTTAAACTTCACTTAGAAAAAAATGCAACCACAGGCTACTTCCAAAGGAGCAAAGACTGTGTTCTGAAGAAAATTTGAACTGACTCTTACTATTGAAAACCCTTATTAAGATCAGTGCTTATTTGATAAGCAAATAAATGTGTAAAAAAACATTGAAAAGTTGAAACACACAGTCATGCTATTGTCACACATGACTTGCATTCATTAGTATCAATTGTTATATACCCTCTTTTATTTCATACAAATATAAAAAATCATGCTTTACATTTTAATATATAATTTAATGGTTTACAATCGCACTAATTTCAAGGCTTCAGCCCTCTTTCGTAAATTATTTGGAACACGACATGCATTAAAGTTAAATTCTGGATGATGCAATATCATTGACCAACATAAACCAAATTTTTCAATGCCTAACCTAATGTAATTGTCCTCGTCAGGTGTGAAGCGAATACCTGAACATCGTTTAGTGAATTTATGGGTCGAAGTGGTTGCAGTGTCTTTGCGAACATTGTCTTGTCCCTGTAATAACTGCTCTACCTTTTTGCATTCAGTTTATAAATTCTTACCGTTCTCAACTAATTTTTGCATGCACCAACATCCTCTTATTGCTACTTCCGAGAATGTTTCTTTTGATAACGGACACAGGCAACATTAAAGCTATGCTTCTGGTCTTCAGATATCCATTTCTGTTCATTCAGTAGCATAACCTAAGAACTTTCCGTCTCAATTATTTGTCTGTACCTAGTCGGATGAATGTACTTTCCGATGGCTTTGAACACCAGCATTTTGAAAAGATCTGTAAGTTTTTGAAATTGTTTACCATTTCGATTTACCAACACGTACTCGCAAGTGGGTGTGAGAAGGGGTCTGATATACGTTATATATGTTTATACATATATATTTTTCCAATATCTCAATGCTGCATTCGTCAAAGTACACACTATCAAACCCGTACTTTTTAGCCGTCTTGAAAATTTTCTGATCAACCATCCCTTCGTTTCTCTTTGCACTTTCAAACATTCGCAAGGTTAGATGCTGGTATGTCATAGGACAACAGCCTTTTACTTTCAGGAACATGTAAGCGGCTACAAATTGGGTGGCAAACGTGACCTCGCCAGTTTTGACAGAAGAAGGACATGCCATACACTTTTCCAACACAGATTCATAACATTCCATGTGAAATGGAATTACAGATTGAACTTCGGAAGTTCAAGACTTGCCCAACTTCTATGCAATTTGAGGGTTTCTATGTCTAATTCGGTTGTCCAATTTGATCTCATTCCCTTCACTAAGCACTTTCACGCTCTCTTCACATAAACCTAGAAATGTTCAAGCACCGATGCAGGGGGACGGCTAAATTTGTGAAAATCCAGTAGATCTGAAATGCTTGCAACATAAGATATTTGTCCTGATTGTCCAAGACCCCACTTTTCTTTTAGGTGAAGTGTCGAAATGGTCGATCGATACATTGGGCTTCATCGAAATAGTAATACCAACCATGTTTTGTTTTCACATGTTTACGACAACCTCTGTGACTTGCAAATCCTGGATGCTTGCAGCCCATTACAAAATGCTTAGCGATCAATTTACTTTGGTTTTTATAGTGAACACAACATGCATTGGTATGCATAGGCGATGTGTGAATCTTATATGTGAAATGAATAGCACCAAGTGCAATATATTATGTGTTAATTTGCGGAATAAATGGCAAAATTAAAATAGAGAGGAATGTTGGCTTTAAAGGGAACAATAAAACAGAACAAAATGGAACAACAAAAGCTAGCAATATGTGCATAACAAATTGTTCCAGTTTCCTAACCTAGTTGAAGAATAATGTTCCGCATCACAGAACATTTTGTTCCTAAGCAACGGAACCATGAAAAGGAACAGATTAAGTTTTCCCAATACAAGTTGTTCTCAATCAGTTCCGCTTTGTGGAACATATTAGAAATGGAACAACCAGATTGAAGTAGGAACAATTTGTTCTTTTTTGATTGCTGTTCCATTTATAAATGGGAACACCCAACATAATTTACATGTGTTCCGAGTATGGGGTTTAAATATATGCAAAAACCATGACAAAACAAATCGTTCTTGTCATGTTGCAGTAGGGAAATTTAAATGGTTTTTCCTATTGAAATAACATGCTCACACCCTAGTGCTTCTGCCAAATCGAATTGTTATGTGCTCATAATGCTTAATCTAGCAAATTTCCTGCTGTAGTGATATTCTAAAAGGAAGAATTGTTAGGGATATGTTACACCACCATCCGCACCACCACCAGCACCCTGTTCTGCAGCCGCTGCCCCATGCCTTAAGGTCAAGGTGTCTACCAACTTTCTGTGTGCTCTTGGTCCAATGTCCTGAACTTGTAATGACATGATGGGATTCTTGTCAGAGTCAAGCGACATGACAAGAAACATATAATATCTGTTTAATGCCAACATGAAGCTAACGCAGCCTTTCAATTGTTTGAACATTTAATAACTGTGCTGGTTTTCTAAATAAATTTAAGGACATACACTATGTAACAACTTAAACAACTAACTCACACACATACCTCACGTTGACGAATATTATTTAACAGTGATGTTAATACTTTGTCCTTATCCATGTCAATAATAAACCACTTTAAAATATTTGATCGTTTATCGCTACTTCAACACTTATACTGTTCAGTTCACCGTATTCAGCGCTTATATCCTATACAAACTGAGCCCACATAACCACATTTTAACCTAAACAATGTTATGCAAATAGCTCCACAATTATATTAATTAATTTGGGCAATTGGTCCCAACAAAACCCAACATCCGTGTACAAAGAGAGGGCGTTTCTGTTGCAGAACCAACAAGCCAGCAACAACCACAACATGCCATCATCAAAACGACCGCAGAAGCACTCCAACAACCCAACAAGTGCAAAGCAACCTACCCCACTACCACAATATTCCCTCGCCCTCACCAAATATTCCAAACACCATTGCTCTTCCTTGTCCATGTAGGCATTGGTTCTTTGCCAATTTAACTCTGTCGGCCTCGGGACATCTGCCCTATATACATTCGCAGAGGCAATAGCCATGGCTATCGGTCTTTCAGCCCTGTCGTCCTTACGCACAACACAGCAGCCCATGTGAAGGTTGTTCTGCCAGTTGTGTTCGAGCTCATCCACATACTGCCTGTAAGATGCCATGTCCAAGCAGCTGGCAACAGCATCTTCTCTATTTAACAACGCCTTCATTCGATCAAGATGGGTCACAACGTACCTGCGGCTCAGTAACTTTATGGAGAATGGAGAACAGCGCTCAATGATTGTTCTGAAATTCTCCATGTTTGTGAATGTTTTAAAATTACAAACATTATATATCTTTGAATTTTGAATTACATTTTGATACATTTAAATTATGTGTATATAACGGTCATTTATTGAATTAATTATATTAATTTCAATTAAAGTTTAAAAAGAACCTTTACATGTGCGGCATAGTGGACACTATACAAAGTTTATGTAAAAAATTATTACTGTAAAACGACATCATTTTTAATAACTGCAAGATTCCTGAAGCCAATATTTTTATAAACAAGCTGTTTTTAATACGGAAGTTTGCTTTGAAATATTGAAAATGTACGAAATTATATATTTTTAAGAATTTCTTATTGGTGACGGGCGACTACTGATTAGAGTAAGTAATCAATACCGCTCGATACCAGGCTACTACCCGAAGTAATCGACACCAGAGTGGTATCGAAATATAATACCATCGATACGTGGTCCGCAAAGTAATTGTATATAGCGTAATCGATATTAATGGTATCGCCCCATTACGGTTTGTTCGGACCATTCCGACCTCCTTCGAGATAAGATCTGAATACGATGGAATACGAGCTCGAAACCAAACATGGCTGATAAACAATGGTGTATTTGTATGTGTGGATTCTTTAAAAATGTGGTATCTAAAGCTGATTTAAAGGACAATGACAACAAAATGTTTTATTGTCTGTATTCATTAAACTTGCTAACGGAATACTTAATTTCATATTTTTGTTTGTCCATTGCATTTAGTTGTTCAGAAAATGTGCGAAAATGTTTAACAAATTTTAACAGTCGTCCGCCATCTTGGGAAAGTTCCGCGTATGCTAATTTATGCATGAATACATTTGGTGACGTAGATGGCAGGGTAAAAACAAATCCCACAATATAAGTTATACTGTAACAACGTTGAGATTTGGAAGAAAATGTTTACAAAAAATACAGATACACAGCAACGTGTATTAATAGTTCAATAATGTGTAGCAACTTACTACCAATGGTCTGTGATTGTGTTTTCGACAGTAAAGCGTATATTTGCGATGTAAAATGCGCTTAGACATTGACTCCGGTTATAGTAGTTCTGCTGTTCCAATTACATGTCATATATTCAAATTGTATTTATATATGTATATCATATACATTTATGTATGTGCATGCTCTGTTGCAGAAATATAGAAGTAATTTGCATTGAAATAAAAGATTCTACTGAGTATTTAATGTATCAAAGTATTGTTATTATTATTAATACAAAAATCATTCAATGAACTGCAACAATGTTAACTGATGTTGTAGTGGGTAATTCCACCGTGAGACACACCAGCCTTAGACAAAGCATTTTAAAATCTCATGCCAGAATTCACTGGCCGTCAACTTTGGAAAACATTGACTGCACGAATTCTATATTAAAGGCTGAATCAAAATCATGATAGGTAATTGATCATGATTGTGAAGAGAAAATATACTTGTATAAATGCAGGCCGGCGACATATATTTAAATAGCTGCAGATTTCACAACTATTGCTTTTAAAACTGAGCAGGCGTTCGAACGACATTACTCGTGAAATAGCTGGTATCTATATCTTCTGTAATGTGTAGTGTCGGCTTTGTCACGCAAGTTAGATATTGCGCAAATTAGTAAATTGACATTCAAGGTCAGTGTGGGATTTTCCCAGTAATCCCAGACAAGAGATAAGTGTAAAATAACTATAATCTGGTTCGTATAACCAGATTATACTTATTTTACACTTATGTATTTTTACATGTAGTTTTACTTGGTTATCAATTGTAGCATTGTTTTGTATAGGTAAATACTCGGTAAAATACTGTCATGCATGTAGCTTCCAATATTATATCAATACTTTTATTGTGTTATGTAAAATTCCCTAAACGATTCATGTGTTCCTTGTTGTACTATATATATAACCGAAATTGCAAATACTTGTCAGTTCTGAGTACGGCTTCAATTAAGGAAAAGATCAAGATTGTTCATGTAAAACGTAAGGTAGCTACTAAGGTGCACTACAAAACATGTATTGCCCAGTCTACGGTTGTAATAGTGACAGCCAATACACAAGTGAAATCCGTTTTTTCCGTTTTCCAAATGACAAATCGGTAGATCAGCAATACAGGAGAAAAGCGTGGATTGAATTCTCTAAGCGCAAAGCATTTAAACCATCGTCGTCCACTAGAATATGCTCGCTTCATTTTGCCGAAGATGCGTATGAACAAGGACAGTCACCACAGTTTTTAAAACGAATACAATGCAATGAAACGTTCAGAATACAATTGAAAAGGGAAGCGTTGTCCACATTAAATAAACCATTGATAGATCCAAGCACAAGTAAAACAAGGACTTATACTGAGAGAAGACAACGAACAAAGGTGATTTCTGACAATTAATGTCTGTGCAAAACATTTATTTATTGAACAAGGGACTTTCATTTTCATCCATTTCCTACCAGTACACACCAAAAAATGTTCTTTCATTTATAGGGCATCACTGACCTTTTGAATCCTGAAAGTTCAACAAGTAAAGCAGATGAAGAATTCTACTGTACCGTAGAATTAGACGCATTGCCTAGTATATGTACGTCGGAGCAGACACACGAGCCTGAAATATTTTTACATGATTCTCTTCTTCGAACAAAATCAACACAGACAACATTTAAACCATTTAAACCTGTGTCAAGATCGGTTAGAACACAGACATTAGCCGACGCAACTTCGACGTGTTTTCAAACATGGAAACCAGTGACAAGATCAATCAAGACACAAACGTTGGGAGACACAACTTCGACGTTTTTTCATACTGATTCGGAAGCTCGACCAGTAAACGAAGTCGTGGACAATATGGCATACCAGGGAAAATCCCTTAATATTGAGCAGATCCAGACCAATTACACTGCTACAACAGCGACAGAAGAAGACGTAGAGAGCATACATAGCAGTAAC